TTTATGAAAAATAGTTTATTTTGCCCTTCAACGCTATAGAAACCTACCTAAACTGCCCTTCCTGCCGCCGGAATCGCAGACCTCTCGTTTGTTCTACAAATTCCGGCGAAAATTCTCCATGACCTTGCTTACCCCCCACCCCCCACCCCCCCCCCCCACCCGGCAATTTCCAGCGACAAATCCTTCTCATTTTTCTTCCGCGACAATCCCTCCCTCCACCATCTTCATCTGTTTTCCAGGCTCCCATTCTCCCAATTTTTGCGTGACGGCTGCGGCGAGTGAATCACCATGATAGCAAGACTTGGCCGGATCGGAAGGAGATGGTTGGTCCGACTGCGACAATCGGATGAGGATAGGTGGTCGTCGCCAGACTACGAACGAAGATGGGTGGTCCGACGCTAGAAATCAGGCGGACGAAGACGCTCGGTTTGCTGTCGTATTTTGAACGGGTCCGCCGCCGGGCTTCGGATGGGATCTGCCGCCGAATTTCGCACGGGATCGCTTGTCGGAGTCGGACGGGATCCGCCGCCAACGTCGGACCTGTCGCCACTCGCCGGCAAAATTTTCTTTCCCCGAAAAACTATTGGATTCCTAATTAATATTGGAAATTTAAATATTGTAGTAAATATTTATTCAATTCCAAAATTTCTCTAATTAACCCAAATACATATCCATTTCTCTAATTAACCTCCACCGATAATTATGGAAATAATTAAATAAGACATGACATGGTAATCATCCCAATTAACAATCATCCCTAATTGATAACCGTAAACAATTCCATTAGGGGTCATTTGGATGAGGGTTTTTAATAACGAGGGATTTGAGTTCAAATCTCTCATTTAAAAAAACAGGTTATTTAGTTGCACGATTTGAGACAAATATCCCGTTTGGTTATTGATCCAGGATTTTAATTAAATTGTTGAAGTTCAGTTTTGCCCTTCTTCCTTTCTTCCTCCGCTTCTCCTTTATCGCCGACACTCCACAACCTTCCCCAAACGCGAAAAACACGATCTTCAACCACCACCATCAAGTCTCAAAACCAAAAACCACCATTCTAGACCCAAATCACCATCGATCGGAGAGTTTGCATGTCCTGGAGAGAGAGCTGGGTTTGTCGACGAGGTTTGTGAGGAATAGTTTAGTCTGCGGTTTCTATTCCTCTTCCATTCGCAACTCCCAGATTCCAAATCGACGACCAAGAACCCAAAATCATACTACCCTAATCGACGAACAAGAACCCTCCTCCTTCGATCCCTTCTTTCCCTAGGAAATAAATAAAAAAAACCAGACAGATCTGAAATAGTTTTTTTCCGGGCATCCTCATGAGTGGCCGACGACCTTTCCTGTAACCTCGTCAACTCCGGCGTCTTCGAATCACCAGCGTCCTCACTGTTAGAAACTAGAAGTTTTGGAGCTGTTTTGTAATTGTTCATGTATATATTTAGTGTAACATGTGGAGTAGGGTTGCCGCAGCCGAACATATATATAGTCCTTTAGGGACTTATTGTAGGTATCTTGAATCTTCTGCTGAATAAGATAATCTAACCAAGCAATGAACACGGGATTTACGTGGTTTCCCCAACGATGATTGTTGAGACTAGTCCACGGCAGATGTTATCATTGATCTTACATATATACCAACTGAAGACCAGCCGGCAGATCTTCTCCCGAAGGCGGTAGCTTCTGCTCGCCACTGGTTTCTAGCACACAAATTGATGCTGCGTGAGCACCATCAATTTGAGGGAGGGTGTTAGAAACTAGAAGTTTTGGAGCTGTTTTGTAATTGTTCATGTATATATTTAGTGTAGCATGTGGAGTAGGATTGCCGCAGCCGAACATATATATAGTCCTTTAGGGACTTATTGTAGGTATCTTGAATCTTCTGCTGAATAAGATAACCTAACGCCTTGTGCCGTGGACTAGTCTCAACGATCATCGTTGGGGAAACCACGTAAATCCCGTGTTCATTGCTTGGTTAGATTATCGATTTCTTGGAGTTTGACACTCACAAGATCCCTGACCTCAATCAGGTGGATTTCCTCCCACACAAGTGCCTGTTGCTATCCTCTCTTATGGCGATCCGGAAAGAAGTGGTTGGAGTAAGAGACAGTTATAACTGATGACAGCGACAGATTGAACGGTTGAACGCCAAAAACCCATCTCTGCATCACCTCCGAGCTACGGGGAAGGAAGGCTCGGAGAGGGGTCGGGAGGGAGAAGAAGACGTCGACTTTCTTCACTGTGGGAGGGGATTGGTCGGAGAAAAGAAAGAAGAGGAAGTCAGACGTTGGTAAAGTATCAGTTAGAAGTTTATCTGAGAATGGAGGAGGGTAGGCTTTGGAAAAATGCAGTAAAAATGAGAGATTACGAAATAGCTGATCCCCATAAGCTATTTTAAAAACCTGCATTTGAGAGATTTAGAAATCCTTAATGCTAACAATCTCTCATTTTCCCAAACGCATAATTCTATTAAAATCCCGCATAATGAGTAATTGTTTTAAAATCCCTCACAAATCACTCATCACAAACCTGCATCCAAACGACCCCTTAATTGACTTGTCTTCCCTTAATTAATACTTTTAATTTCATTAACTTAAAATTGACATCCGAAAAAAATTCTTAATTTACATATCATATTCCATAACCACGTCAAATATCAATTCCCTAATTAAAAATAAGAAAAAGTTCCCTTAATTAACACTTTTTTTTTTTACAAAAGATAATCATATATTGATACCAAAACATAGATAGTTACATCCTGGACCCCAGCCAGGCCCAAAAAATCAAAGAAACGACAGTAGTCGGATACAAAGAGAGGGCTTTTCTAGCCACCAAATGGGCTACCCTATTACTATGCCGACCTACAAATCTCATACTAAACCCAGGGTTGCTGCAAAAATATTGTAAAACTTCTTCCAAAACAGCACCCATCCGGCTATCACTAGCATCCTTACAGTTGATTTCATCAATAATGACCTTGGCATCCCCTTCAAACCTCATCCCCGTGAAGCCCTGGCCTAAACACCACGCGATAGCCTCCCGGAGCACAAGCAGCTCCACCACGGTTGGGTCATCAATCCCCGGGAACTGGATCCCTTTAGCCATAAGCACACCCCCAGACGGAGACCGAAGAACCATACCACCTGTTGAATGTGATCCCTTCCTGGTAGCCCCATCCCACAGACAAACAACCCCAGCAGCCTGGCCCAGCACACCTGGTGGAGAGCTCATCCGGGGGGGGGGGGGGGAAGGCATGGAGGGCGCATCCGCCGGCAGCCCCACCCATTCCTCATACTGTTGGGAAAACTGTCTCATCAAAGCGGGGAATCCAAACTGCTTTCCTTCAAACACCACCCAATTTCTAGACCTCCAGATGCGCCAAAGGACCGAGACAACTGCCATGAGGAGCGTCGGCTGCTGAATTAAGGCCAGCAAACGCTTAAGAAACAGAGGGAAAGTATGTCGAGGCAACCCCTCCCCTAAGTATTCGAGCCCCGCATAACCCCAAAGAGCACGCGCAACAGGACAATCCAAAAACAGATGCTCCATGGTTTCCTGGCCACCCCAACAGACAGGACAACGAGGAAGGATAGGGACCTTACGATCTATAAGGGCCTCAGTGGTGGGGAGGATTCGATTCAAAATTTGCCAAACAAAGACCTTCAGCTTCGGGGGAATATTCGCCTCCCGCAAACGAATCCAACTCGATTTATCCATCCAACTAGCCGACGCCTTCCACCCTCCCTTAATTAACACAACTGAGCCCATAATGTAGATTGTGTATTATTAATCACAACCCAAACAAATCCTTTAATGAAACCATACGTGGGTATTGGTTCTAATAATTATAAATTTGAATAATTATTTATTTATTTGTACAATATTTATAAGTATTAATAATTCATTCATATAACTAGGGTTTGATTTTAACCATGTTCATATCCACATTTCTTTCCCCCTTTACACCTTCTACCCCTCCCAAACTCTAAACCCTTTTTCCAGCCAAATAACTACCTTCAACCTCGATCCATCCAATCCTACTACGACATTGTCTTAGAGTCGAAATCGTCTCTTCCTCCACTAACAACAATTGTTCGCATCATCAAAATACGCATGGGAGGCCCAAGAAACTGCTCGTTACGACCCACAGAGCCCCCTAAAACCTCGATGATAGTTTTGACACTACATACTTTTTCCCCGAACGTCTAATCGAGAAACGGTTGATTCCACCATGTTCGAGCCACATTTTAGTGGAGCAGCGAAGGTTTCAATAATTCACATCGATAACTCTAGTAATTTAATAATTTTGTATCCTTATCTCGTTTTTTTATTGGCGAGTGAATACTTATCGTTTTGTTAATCACTACCAACCTAATTTAGCATAATTATAGTTATCACTAATTTACATAATCTATTGATTTTAACACTACCAACATTTTTTCTAATTAAATTATAATATGGACACAGATATAAAATAATAAAATTAATCCCCCCTAAACACCCCACTTACGGCAGACCCTTTTTCCACTATCATTTACTATAATAATAAATCATAATATTAATAAATTACTCCCCAATAATCAACGTAAGATTATTTTCATAATTAACAACTAAAAATAATTAAGTACAACTTTGAATGCTTACTAAAATGGGGCCTGATTTCTGAAATATTAAGGGGGTGATTAATCCTCTAATTAATTGTCAAAGGAATCTTTATTTATTTCCCTCTTTAAAATTAAATTATCTCAGATTAATCCTCTACTTAATTTCTGCAATATTAGTTCTGAACTTTCGTTGATGAATAGTGGATTGTGATTCAATCCCTCCGCGCATTCATTCTTATTGGTTCCAACTTCCAACTCTCTTTTCCATCCCCGGAGCTCGGAAAAAGCGGCACGAGTCGCCAACAGGAAGCATGGTGGTCCGCGCACCGTCGTCGGACGGGGTCCGCGCGCCACCTTTTGCCTGGTGCCTGACATTAACGACGGGAAACGACAATGCTGGGAAGACGATGCGGACGTTCTGTGAGTTATTTTGGGGTTGGATCGTCATTCGTGAGGATTTGTGGTGGTCGGCAGAGATCCCCGACAAAGGAAGGGAAGCTATTAGGTTTTGATTGTGGTGGTGATAATTGTGAAGGGAGAGCAAAAATGTCATTTACTTAAAATTTGTGGGTGGCAATTAATAATTCTACCGGCCGCAAATAACATCCCTCTAAAACCCGATCAACGAGTCAGGCAAAATGGTTGTCTTATACCATATACATTACAAACTTCAAACTTTTAGTAAACCCATTGTAACTTACATTTACAAGTTACAACTTACAACTTACAGCGATATCACTATTAAAAAAAAAAAACTCCAAAAAACCAACGAAAGCAAGTGAAATGCCCCACATTATAATTTTTTTTTTCCCTCCAAAATTCCCCCAATCTCAACGACCATGAAACTCAATCTCAGCATGGCCATTCTCCCCTGACCTCTCCCTCTCCTCCCGCCTTCTAAACCTTCCCGCAAATTTTTAGTTCCACCACAACACTAACCCCAAAACCCTCAATCCTACTTCCTTCCTCGACAATCGCCATGTCCAATCCAAGAGACAGTTTTTGCTCACAACTTCACTCGGTCTCATAGCCCTAACTTCCCAAACCCCACTTCCCAATTCCTTCGTTGAACCTTCTCCCACCCCAAAGCCTGCATCTTTCCCAGGAATCGTCAACACAAAAGCTTGGTTTCGGCACTATGGAGATGGGTTCTCAATCCGGGTCCCTCCACAGTTCGAGGACATCGTGGAGCAAGATGTAAACTGTTGCATTTGGCCTTGATTCGTCCAAAGTGAGAAATAAGTTTTGATATTTTTTTTTCTGTATGCTTGCTGCGTATTGAGGTTCTGCAGGATTTGAATGCGGGATTGTCTTATGGTGATAAGGTTAAGCCGCATACCTTTGCTGCTCGGTTTGCCACTGCTGATGGGTACATTGACCAAGTTCTACACTACGTGTTTTCTTGTATTGTTGTGGAAATTGTGGGAGTTGAATTTTTTTTAGTTCAATGTGATTGTCTTACTAAGATGGTATTGAATGTGGAATTGGCATCGGATGTAGTCATGTAGATCTGAAGTTGTAAGTGTCTGATTCGCCCCACCAATCAGCTCAAAATCACATTTTTAGAGATCTGGGTATAACAGATTGCCAATTGCCATGCTCAGATGTGATTTATTTGAATGGTTACTGGAAAGGGCAATGAATTGCTCTTGCCAACTCTGATCGATACTTATCATTGCTACATGACTTTGTGCAGGCTAAAGATGTTAGCGATTTGGCTTCCTTGAAAGAGGCAACAAAAAATCTTCGTTCAAGGCATGTTTAATTGTGCTTAATAAACCATTTTGGGTCTAGATTTTCATTCCCTAGTTGATTTGGATTGTCGTAGCAAGGAACATCCGTTGTTCATATTGCTCTTTTCCTCGTGTCAATTGCAGCTGGTCCGACTATATACACTGCCAGGAGCACCAAAATAAAGGAAGAAGAAGGTCTGAGGTAAGGGGGTCTAATTAGAACTCTTTCCATTTTCCATCATTTTGATAGAAACCTATTTCTAGGGTTCCTATCGGGTTGGTTTGAGATTGAGGATTGATAGATAGTTGGGGATTTAGATTAGAATTAGGGATTGAGATTGAGATTTGAGGAAGAAGAAGAATAAAATCAAGAATCAGCCGAGGCCTTGAATTAGGGAAGAGAAGAAATTAGGAGTTGAGAGAGACGAAGTTTTAGAAGAGATACTTCACATAATACTTTTCTTATTGCCCTCAATGAATCACAAAGTACATATTTATAGAATAATGATAAACCCTAATTATAAACCCAATAGGACTAAAAGACTACTATTTACTAACCTTATTAATAATTTCCTACAAATAATAATGATAAATAAGATAGAATCATGAAAATCGTGTTTCTATCATATTTCTAGCTGACTGGCAAATGTGTTGCATCTCCCTTCTCTTGAACCTATTTCAGGACATATTACTTCTACGAGTTCGGTAGATATGAACAGCACGTGGCGCTGGTGGCAGCAGTCAACAGTGGAAAGGTTTTCAATGACTACTCTCCATCTTTGAACTGTTTAAATGTTCTTGGGGGCTCTCGTTTTTTGCTAAGTTGGAATGCACATGCATTGTTAGGACTTCGTCAGAACTCCACATCAAGATGTTTCTTTGATTCCACTGCCAGTTGAGCTCGACCTTGATTGAGGAGTTCAACAGCCAAACTCAGGTACAGAATTGTCTCCTCTTCCTTGGCTATCAATTCCCTCCTCTGTTGAGAACCCTAAGGAGTGGGTTAGGAAATGTGATGAACTATTCTGCACCCACAATGTACCTGGGAATCAGAGGGTGGGTTTGGCATCAACCGGCCTCGAGGGGAAGGCTCTAGGGTGGTACCAGTATTGGAGTTTGGGTCGTGCATTTTGCAGTTGGGCGACGTTAGCTGATGCTGTGTCGTGTGAACGTTTTTGGGACCTTGACATAGCCTGTGTAGTTGGGGTGTTCGATAGGATTAGGCAGCAGGACTCTGTAGAAGGTTATAAGGAGCGATTTGTAGTGGTCAAAGTGGCATTGCTTCGGTTGAAATTATCCCTACCTGAAGATTACTTCATCAAGGGCTTTATACGGGGCTTGACTGGTGAAATTCGAGCATTGGTGAGGAAGTTTCAGCCACAAACTCTTCTAGAAGCATATCACCATGCTCACTTGGAAGAAGCTTCCATCGAGGCCTGCAAAAGGAAGAAGCAATCATAGATTGGTGATTACTTGGGATATTTCTTCTCCATGCCTAGTTGATGAGAATGGTGATTTTGTGACTGAAGATGGTGAGATAAGAGCAAACGAACTCCACAGCCCTGTACTAGAGTCAACTGTTGTAAGTGGCTCAATAGTAGTTGTTGCCCATTCTGATATTAGTGCTTTAAACTCAGATTCTTTCTATGTTAGTACTTTGGCTAACTAGGTTAGTGGAGATATGCAAGCGAAGAATCCATCTCAAGGGCTTCACACACATCAAGTTTTGGCATGAATGAGATCATTACATCTCAAGCTGTGGGAGTGGAAGCAGAATCAGCTGTGTACAATGGTGTTTCAACTATGAAGACTAACAGTTTGGTGTTGGTGAGCAGTCATGATTTTTGGTGGCTTCGAGTGAAGTTTAAACTAAATGATGCTTGTCTAAACTTCAAAGAACCATATATAGACTTCGTTTTAAAGGAAAGAATTGTTGCTGTTAGAGCAGGAAATGTGTACCAGGAAGGCAGCAGTTGTCTGGATTTCCATGACTTTTCATGCTTCTGTGATTTTGTTTTCTTCATCTCTCGCGGAAATGGTCAAAAGAACATTACTATAAACAAGGCTTTTCCTGCATGGAGATGGGTCTTGGATGGGACGTTTAGGTTGCTAAACCAATGGTGTGACTTTGTAGGGAGAAATCAGCAATACAATATTTCTGAGGATACATGGCAGCAAGTTCTGGGTTTTAGTCACTGTGTATATGAAAATCTTGAAGGCTACAATCCTGAAGGTGCTTTGCCTGTCCTTGTAGATGAATTTGTCGAGCACATGTACAGAACGTTTGGGTCTAAGAAGAAGTGCAACTGTAAATCCTATGATCATGTTGAGTGCAATCTTAATCATGTGTTTTTGAAGACCCAGGGGCGATCTCAAAAAGGTTGCTGAATTAGCAGTCTGAAGATGGTTTGTTGAATTAGCAGAAGTCTCATCAACAATGAAGCTGCAGCTCATTTCCTTTCTCTTCAATTTCATTGCCTTGTGGTGTTCATTATCTTTTGTGGTTCATTGTTGAATTGTACGTTGATCCTAGTAATTTTTTTTTTAGACTTGAGGACAGTGTATTCTCAAGGGGTCGGGATTGTAACAACTAGGACTGATTTGTCAATCATGGTTAGCTTGGGGAGTCGTTTGTAATTGGCCATGCCTACAAAAGAGATGTGTTGTGCTGTAAAGAAACTATGGAATAATAGAATTATTTCTCAATCTTTCTCTACTCTCTGATCTTCCGTCTCCTTCTTCTTTCCTCTGCAACTTCTCTGATCTCTTCTGTCTTCTCCCTTCTCTATCCTTCTTGTCCTTCTTCTTTATGGCGATAAGGTTTAGCCAAAGACCTTTGCTGCTCGGTTTGGCAGTGCTGATGGGTACATTGACCAAGATCTACACAATATGTGTTTTCTTGTATTGTTGTGGATACTGTGAGAGTTGAAAAGTTTCTAGTTCAATGTGATTGTCTTACTAAAATGGTATGGAATGTGGGATTGGAAACGGATGTAGATCTGAAGTTGCCAGTGTCCTGATTTGCATTGCCCCACCAGTCCGCTCAAAATCACCTTTTCAGAGGTCGGCTATAAGTATAACAGATACCAATTGCCATGTTCAGATGTGATTTATTTGAATGGTTACTGGAAAGGACGATGAAAAGCTCTTGCAACCTCTGATAGATACTTATCATTGCTACATGACTTTGTGCAGGCTAAAGATGATAACGATTTAGGTTCCTCCAAAAGAGGCAGCAAATAAATCTTTGTTCAAGGCATGTTTAAATTACTTGTGCTTAACAAACCATTTTGGGTCTAGATTTTCATTCCCTTGTTGATTAGGATTGTCGCAGCAAGGAACATTCATTGTTCATATTGCCCTCACTCCTGGACCTCCTGGATTTCCTGAATCGACCTCGAAGGTATGGCGGTTAGTCGATCGCTAAGTAGCAGATCGACCTTGGCCTCGATGTTGTGAATCGAGACCGAGAGTCCTTGAATCGAGTTCCTCAACTGTTGGATCTCCGTGAGCACTCTCACCAAACTCACGACCTCTGCTGTCGTATCGGTCGTAGTCGCAGCAGGTGGACGGACGGATTCTGCAGCCTGCTCCTCTAAGCGAGGCTCCGGTGGTGGAGACACGACCACTGGGGTGTCAACAGAAGGGCGAGGACTAACAGTCATCGGCTCTTGTGGGCCCGGTGCTGTCTCGATGACAGGTGTGGGCAGAGGATCACTCGGTGTGTGAGGCACCTCAGCCACCCCTGAACTCAACGAACTCACCACAGTAGGAGCTGGTGGTGAATCAACCACTATCGCCTGGAGCTCCACAGCTGTGGGAGAGGTGCCTACAAAAGAAACTGGTGGAAATCATACAGAAAATAGTTAATTACTCCATATGAGACCAATTAGTGGTAAGAATTAGGGGCATCAAGTTTTACATACTCATATTCTTATAAATACACCTATTGAGACTCTTAAGTGATCCACACGACCCCACAATCAATGAACTTTAATCAACATTATCACTAAATAATAAAGCCTGACAGAAACAAAGTATGAAAATATCTCTTACCGTACGGACAGCCGAGAGCATCGAGTAACCTACACCTGATCCAGTTCAGACGACTTTTGGTAGTCTGTACCGCACTGGTGTATCGGCCCTTGTAGTACTTGCTGATCATCAGCAAGATGATGAGATGCATCGCAGCATTGATCGCCTGCCGAGTCTGCAATTACGTCAAATTCATTGATTAGTAATAGTTTAACATCATAAAATATAAATACTGCTGGTTGGTAAACTTTTGATATATGTTTTCCCATTCTTAACAGACTAGTTGTTATAATACATAAAAGAAAATAGTTCTAATAGTAATTGGAACATGAGATTTTCATCACATGGCCTTCAGGCCAATTTGCCTTCGGGCTGTAAACATCTAATCTCTAATCACCCTAATCTTGCAATAAATCTTAAATGTCAACAAATTAGGATAAGAAGCCATCTGCAATAGCAGCATATTTTATCTTTTACGGTTGCTAATATCTTAACCTGTGACTGTGAGTGTCATAAATTTGCTAGGTCATCCTCTCTATGCCCCTATTGTTCCGTGAATCTTTAAGTAGTTTTGAAATTTGCTTAATTGGATTTAATGCATTTGTTGGATTGCATAGTTATTTCCTGAGTCCCCATGACTTGTCGTGTTTAGTTTAGTTTATGATCAAACCAACATCATATGATCTTAAGCGATTCAGGAAGAAGAGGATCATGTGTATTCTGCAAATTTCTTTTTGTTTAACACTATTGATTTCAATTGATGTTGTGTAACTCAGAGTTCCAGGTATTGATAGAGCTACTTAGCCTCTAATGTATGATCAACACGCAATGGTTTTGAAGAAAGTTAATTAATACTCAGAATGTGTGAGATTGGTATATAGCTTAATATTATTGATTGATAAAAGGGGAGATCATGTTGATCAGCACACAATGTCTATTTTGTATTCATGTTCGTTTTGATCCGCTTTAGTCATGTATTTTCGAGCCTCAAATATGTCATGTCGGTCCTATTTCGTTTCTTATTCCATTCTATTTCATTTTGTGTCTCTGTTGAATTCCTTTGTATGATAGTAGATTAGAATGATTTTAAAACGATGATGGAGTCATCATGGAATTCCCTGCAAATTCTCTTCTCCGAGCTTATATGTGATAACTTTGATTTTGTCAAACTAACGGGGCGAGGCTTCGTTCTATGGTTGAGGGAGCCATCTCTGTATGTGATTCTTGAGCTTACACATGATTATTGTTTTTAATCTTTCCCTAATTTCAGTCTTTCCGTTTTTTTTGTTTTTTTCTCCCTTTCCAAGTTGTTTCCTGTAATGCGCCTTCTTTCCTACAATTGTTCATCCATTTCTCCTCAGTTTCTTTCTGCAGGTCACTCTCAAAACTTCCATGGAGGATGCAAGAAAGAAGGTCTCCATTGTGCATTACAAATTGGGGTTGATTGACAAATCTAAGCCGGGGAACACAGGCTCAAACTGAAGATTTAAGCTCTGTAGCCTTGTAAACTTTTGATTTTCATGAATTCATCTGAGGAAGATAACTATGTTTATATATTTATGAATTCTGGTTTGGTTGAATGATTCCATAAGGATAAGATGCAATTCTAAAAGAAATTGTGTGTGTATTCTATTTAGAATGGTTCATATTTCATACAGTGCAACTTTGAATTGAATTCTTAGGGAAAACTCTTCCTTCCACTATATTTTTTACTTAACATACTGCTGCTTGATAGCTTAAATTGGTTACTTAGGATTCAAATTGTGCAGTTGTGGAATCACAGTGTGTTTGAACATGGTTTTTTCTTCCTTTGTAGATGACTGTTTCAACATGGTTTGAAGCATTTGGAAAAGTAACTAACTGGATAGTATTTGGAAGAAGTTTGTTGCTACTAAAATATAAGTGCAGGTTTGTGCACTAAAGTGTTTAAAGTGAATGGGGTTAGATGATAAGGAAGTGGCCATGAAGCCTATTTCATCTTACCCTTGACCGATCACCGTGTCTCTGCTACAAACAATTGTATATGTGTGTTTAATCTGCCTGAATTTTGTGCATTCCCCCCTCCCCCTGGAGTTTTAATAGAATTGTGTCATGTACACTTTTTTCATGTTATAGCTAGGCTCGAAAGGTTTGAGTTTTTGTTTTCCACTGAAAAACTTGAACTTGGATACTGTCAAAAGATACTCTTTTATTCCCCTTTACATGATCTCAAAGTCTTATCGGCTTTTTGTTTGGGATGATGTTCTTCCAAACCAATTCTGTTCCTAGAGCAGCCCTCAAGTCCGCCACATCAAAGGACCAATGAATGGTTGTTTCCTAAAGCTCACTGTGAAATCCTTGAAATTCCTATCTTTTCTCTATCAAGTTGTTATTTTGTCTTTTATACATTTTCAGACAACTATCTATCTTGCTTATGCTAAACGAACTCCAAATTGAAATAATACTGAATATGAAGTTGTTGAGTTGGATGCTACCAAGAATGCCAAAACAAGTATATATGACAGGGGAAGTGCAACACCTTCAGTCCAGACTTTGAAGAGGAAGAACCACCATGTGATGTGGATTTCACACAGTGTTGAATAGAATAGAATAGAATAGAATAGATAATGGGATTCTTCTATTTTTATTCTCATAAATAAATAATAATGTTCACAACTCGATCAGTTTCTTTAGCACTTTGCTTGACGATAGGGTGCAATGTGTGATTCTCTAAATCTCACAACTCCGGACGGAAAGGGACCTAATCCGATTCCTAGCTACTAGATGCTCTTGCTTGGTGTGGATTGCTTCTGGAACTACTCAACTCAAATCAATAATGGCTGGCATGGCAGTCCCTGATATCCTCTGGATAGTTGACAATTCGTCTATCTTATTTGCTTGCCTCACTCTGTTTTTTTTTTTGTGAAACACCAGTATCTTTTACTTACCATGTACTAATTATCCTACTCCTTTTTCTCCAGACTACTTATTTTGTGTTGCATTTGCGTTTTTTTTTCTTTGTAAGTTGCTGTAAACTTTATCAATTGAGCTCACCAATTTTTTCTTAAAAAATTGTCCTTCTATATATATCCACTTCAGCAAGTCTTTGACTTGGCTTCTCTTAATACAGAGAGCATCAGGCAAACTATCATAGCCATATCTATCTGCCTTTGCTACATGTTGGCCTCTATAAAGCCCCACTTATCAAGTCATGTGTTCAAATGGTTGCATATGAAACTATACACTTTGAATTCTTTTATATTGTGAAATATAATTTAGGATGTCAGAGGTTTGCCCATATTTTTTTTATGTCTCCAGCTGCCTATAGAATTATAGTAGAGGGATTTGTGTCTTTACTATAAACTTTCTTTACCCCAAATATGGAATAGTTAGGTTTGAGTAAAAAGGTGGATCATAGAACTAATAATTCCTAGTATAAGTTAAATCTATAGCGTTGAAACACTTACCCAAATTAGTTTTTCACGCTACAAGATACCATATATCATCATGAAAAGCGCACCAGCAAAGCCCAAGATAGAGTTCACAACGGACAGCTCCTTCACCTCCTCGGGTCGACGAAGGACTCTCTAAAAATTTAAACCCAAAGTAACAACAAAATACATGGTTAGAAAGTTGTTTATAATAATTTGTAGTTATCCTAAAATAGTTTCGGAAGAATAATACACAATACTAACCATGTCCACCACAGTAGTCACCAAAGTAAGAAACGAGGACACTATCAGTGCATCCCCAAGGAAAAGCTGTCGCTCATGGTGGGTCTCGTAGTACAGAAAGGTCACCACCACTATCACAGCGTCGAGGCTCGCGAAGACCATCCAGAACATGATGATAAACAACTTTTGTCGTTTGGCCTTCAGTTTGCAGATCAGTGTGATGGTGATTGCACACTGAGCGGTGATTGCAAACGCTGAGAGCACCATGAGCGGTGTATCAGGTCGATTTGTGGCTGGAATCGTGAACCTACAATTAGAGTAGATAAAAAGAAAGTTAGGCATCAAAGTCAATTGATTTAGGCATATACAAAAGAAGGGAAGGAATTAATATTTACCAGATTAGCAAACCATAGTGGAACATGGTTATCATGTATGGAAAGAAGCCGAGGTATTTTCTCCTGGTGAAATCCTCGCTATCCCTTTTTCCCCTCAGGATCCTATAGATTACCCTCCTGCATTGAAAACAATGTTACTAAATCGATCCTCATGGCATGCTAGTTTTAATCCTCTTCCTTGGTAAGAAGAAAGAGATTGGTTTTCATCTAAAATTTCTTGATGTATTGGAAGTTGTATTTTAGCAAGTTAGGGAAATGGAGAAGGAACATTTAACAAATTCTTTAAGCTCAAGAAATCTAACTAGATCTATTGCTAATGGAAATATCTTCAAAGGAAATCATTCCTAGGGCTTTGCTCTAAGGGGTTCTGCTCGATTCCAGTAGAACTTGGGCCGTATATCTCAGGTACTATTAGATATGATTTTGGCGGGAAAACAGCGGACATATTTCTAGGAACAACGCAACGCGCGCAGATAGAATAGAAGCCTATAGAGATATATGGACATACACTTTTCTTTGCTGCAGTTTTCCAGCTAAGTTTCTACAAAATCATCTATTCAATTCCTGGCTGGGCTGATGCATCACAGACATGGCTTTTTGAGAGTGTTTCAATACAATGTAGAATCGAACTCAAGGAAAAAGGGTTATTTCGCAGTGAAGTTCGATATATCAAAGGCCAATGATAGTTACAATCTGAGGTTGGTTGTTCATAAAGGTACAACTAATTCCAATTGTATTATATATGAATGCAAAAATTGAAGCATCAATGTTTTAAATCATTGTAAATAAAAGTGGCCTTTACTTGTATATTAATCCTTAAACGCAACATTCATTAAAAGGGAGTCTTCAGCATTCAGATACATAATGGAACCTGGTATTTGAATTTTATACGTACCAAGGATCGTTGATGATGGCAAGGCCAGTGCACACCACCCCTGTTAAATGTCAACAACTACCATTGGTAAATCTTCAACACACAAGAAAGTAAAAGACAAGGCGGGAAACGTAACACATTGGATTCGATATGGTACCAGCGTAGTAGAAGGCGGACAGAGCCGTCTGAATGGCGTACGTGTCAAACATCGCTACTTGTCTTGTCTTGTCTTGTCTTGGCTGCACCAATGTTTACTAATATTAATTAATCTTATTATAGTATAATACGCTCCTCTAATTTGTTTGCTATCAGATCAACCCGCCTTTTAAATCGACCGAAACAACAACAACAAAAAAATGTAACGATTCAGAATATGGCTTATGGACACCCTGGTTTCGTTACTTGGTTGGGATTGAACTGAATTGATCTTCCGAATTCCAACCCAACCTCTAAATAATAACCCATCAAAACATTTAATTAATTGAAAAGGTTAATAGAATATAGAGATGACAATAATCAAGGAGTAGGTAAGTAGTGTGGTTATCAAAAAGTAAAGTGGCACTCAAACAGAAACAAGCTGAATGGGACAAGTAGAGAATTAGTGGGAGTGGGCAGTCCAACCCACCGAAACCCTGAAGCCCAACAAGCGACCAAACCCTAGCCCCATTCCATTTCCCAACCTTAGCTTGTGAAATAAACTAATAAGAAGTCCCTAAACAATAAATCACTATAGGAAAGAAAGAGTATGCGTGTTAGGTAGGGTAGGGGTTCAAGTATTTAAAGCTTTTAAAACTTGTCTTGAGGCTTCTTAATTAATTAATCCCATTAACCTGCTGATGCGACAACTTAAACAGAAAAACAAGCCATAGAAAAAGAAAAAGAAAGAAAAAAGGCCTCCTCCTAATTAATCCATGCAACGTCCAACACTAACACTATTATTTGAAATCTAAAATCTCAAAACAAAAGAGCGAGCTAGCTAGCTAAGCTAGGTTCGTTGGATCTGCACTAAGCTAGCTTAGCTAGTACAAATAAAGACGAGACAAGCACGGCATAAACAAACAACAGAGCTTCCATACGAAAAAATGAAGTTGTGAACTAGTAGTTGCTCTACCCTACAGACTGGGAGTGGGAAGGAAACTCGATCTAAAATGGCGACAAAGCAAGCATTTGATCTTTGTGGCAGCTGCAGAAGGGAAAGGGAAGAACCTGCTGGGGACACGAATCTGCAGCAGATCGGTAGCGCGGCTGCGGCTGCGGAGGAGCTCCGGCGAAAGCAAAAGCAAAGCACCACAGCCACAGGTAGACCACAGTTTCTCCCTCCTACTTGTCTCTCATTTCCTAGCTAGACCACGGTAGACGGACGGTCTCTCCTCTATCTGCTTCTCTCCTTACTATACCACGGTAGGAAATCAAACTGGCCCTTTTCCGAAAATGGAGGGGCTGACATTTTGGGTATTGTTTCTAAAAATGAAGGGGCGGGGCGGGGCGGGGTAGATAGATAATATAATTATGTGATTCTTTTCTTAGATGGTGCCGCAGAGATCGATGCAAAGCTTCATCAGTCGAGTCAGAAATAACATTAACATACATACATACGATAGTAAAGTGGGGAGGGGATGGAGGACATCTGATCTGATGTGGATGGACGTGACCTGTACGTACGTACACCTAGCCACCTAGGCTATAGAGTTTAATGATGATCCATATTAATAACTAACACAGTCTTCTGTGTTAATCCTGCCCTTCTTCTGCATGTATATGCAGAGAAGCCCAAATTTTATTTCACACATCAAAAGTTTGCATTTTCCATTTACAATACCTGGCTTGGCTGCAGTACGTATATACAACAAACAAATAATTAATACCTAAACTACGTACGTCAACATTATTACATTCAAACACTACAAACTATGCAAAACTTATTGCATGCATCTAAGTCCTACCTAGCTTAGCTTGTCTCTTGTTTCGCACCCATCCGCGCAACGGATGATGATGTTAATTAAATCGCTTACAAAAGTAAATTAAAGAACACGGATGATTGATTTTCATGAATATCAACACTAATCCACGGAAAGCCACTCTTATTCGCATTATAATTAAGTTTCTACAATTCATGGGTCATACATATTAATTTATAGGTTTGCTAGGACAAACCCTAGCTAGTCATACAAGTAGGATGGCCTATATTCGGTTTGGTACTTGTACTTTTACATTCTAACAGATTATTCTCCCCGCAACGGCACAACACAAGGGAGAAGAAAATTTCGAATTTCCGACTACAGATGTAAAGTCAAACCCATTCTTTTGTCTTCACTACAAAATAAGAAAGTATAAGGGACGAATATGGGAGACGACTGATTTAATTTGTCTTCACAAATAGAATATTTAGCTACATTAGGGACAAGCAAATAATATTGTCCCTAAAGAATTTGATGTAATTTCTAATTATTTTAAATATATATAAAATCGTTCCCAAAGAAGTTTGGAAGCATTTTGCGCTCTAGGTTTTTTAATTATCTTATATATTTTATTGATTGAAGTTAGTTTAAGTGATCATCTCGATCTCTTCCTTCTGCAAACCCTAAACCCCAATGTGTGCAAATCTCAATCCCAGAATTGAGAATTTTCTTCCCGAAATCAACCCCCAATCTCGATCTCTTCCTCGTCGTTCTACTACAGTCTAGAAGAAATGGAAAAAAAGTCGATTGGCTCCTCATCTTTCATCCTTCGCAAACTATGTTGAAGACTTCCATTCCGCAGTCTCTCACGGAGTCACTGATTCAATCGTTCGTTCCTCCTTAATCAACCAAGCTCTCCACAGTTCATCGTTAGTCTTCATATACGGATCTACCAGTATGTCATGATTACTCGTTCCTTTAAGGGACTCAAACCCTATTCGACATCTCGTGAATCGTTCAGGTTTGCTACTTCAATTTTTGTTGTTACGTCGATTCTCCCTTTTTATTTGTGTGCCCTTTTCTTATCTCACGTTCTAATGATACCAGAGCATAATTATGGTTATAAGTTTGATATTGTTTATATGATTTGTAATCAATTTTTGTAGTTCTAGTGGTATGGTCAGGTCCATCCTCTAGGGCTTAAAAAGAGAAGATTCTGAATGTAGAGAATTCCCAATTCCTCTGTTTTAGAAAATTTGCCTCGTATACATACTTAGTCTATTCTTAGAATTCAATTAATGTAAGGAGGTTTGATCAAAGTTGCAAGAATGTTAACTTTGATTTTGTAGGCATAACAAGCTTGAAACATGGCTTACAAATCAATCCTAGTCATGCTGAAGAAGAAAGCTTGGTCCAACCAAAAGAACAGCCGAACGGCCAAAGCATTTCTTCAGGTAGAGTGAAACCATCATGTGAATTATGTTAGTTGAATCCCTCTATAATATTGGTGTACAGTATATGATTCTATTCTCACTTCTGGGTTATGATCATGGTATTCACCGGCTGAACGTCCACGTACATAGTAGCTTGAGTAGACTGGTATAAGAACTAGCTAGCATCTGCTTTAACATTCCCTCTAGTTAACCTACAACTAATCGATCTCGATTTTTTTTTTTTTTTTGCATTTTGATCTCGATTTTGCAGGCTCGTCAAAGAAGGAAATATGACTTACAAATTCAAGTTGGGTTTTATGCAACAGAGTTTCATCAGAAACATATTAATGTTATTAATTATGTGGTACTGTCAACTTAGATGTCATTCATCACTGATCTTTCATTTTAACACTTTGTAAGAAATGTACTGGGATAGTTTATAATATTCATATTAATGAAAATATATGTATGCTCTTATTTCATCATTTTCATTGCGATTCTTGTACTATGTAGTGGATGACACTTGATAAAGAATATTAAATGACGACGTATGATCTCCAAAAATAGCTTAGATGATGACTCTTTGTCTTGGAAAGAGGTGATGACTTACTACTCTAGAAATTAGTTCTTAGGGAATGGTCTCCTAAAATACTACATTGGGGACGATTTACAGTCATAGAAGTTAGCTATTAGAGAATGACTTTTCGTCTTGAAAATCATTTGCTTGGAGGACGATATGTTGTCCTTAGTTTAAAGAAATGGAGACGACATATTGATTCGGTTACGTGTATTTTTGGGGACGACTATGCGTTCCTAGTATTGGGGACAA